TGAAGGCTTGAAATCCGAGGACGACGTTAAGACATAATTTAGATCTAAACTGAAGCCTAAACTTACTTATACACTACACAGATTTAGGTTGGAAGTAAGTACTTTTAATTCAATTAACATTATGCCTGTAATATTGACCGCATGAAGTGGCATAGCCAGAGTCCCGGCATGATTCTGAATGCAAATCTGTGGAGGGAATTAAAAAAATATCTGAGCAGAACTTCCAACCTAAAACATGAACATCAAGTAAAAAAATAATAAAAATACCACTTGGACTGTTTGAACTGTTAGAAAACAGTGAGAATGGCATTATTTTGATATAGATTTTCCAATTGGTTATTAAGAAGAATAATTTACAATACATGTACCATGTCTTACAATACATGAGATTAAATATACCACATATTCCTTTTTAGAAATAAACTTGAAAATTATTTAAAACCTACATTTTATAATTTCTCCTTTAACGTACATAAGATAGTTTCCTTTGACATTAGCTCAAACTAAATCCCAAAAAAACAGCTAGTATAATAATTACAGGTCCATCTAATCTGAGATTAAAACATTAGCAAACATAAAAAAAAGAAAATAATACAACTTCCAGAAATATTCTTGAAGAAAGGAGAAAATTGGTTTCAAGATTTGTATTCCTTTTTCACTTTATTAATTTTATATGAGTCACAGTGTATTAACAAACCTTTTCTTCTTGCTTATACATTTATTTTTTTCCTCACTTGTGACAAAATTGGATAAGTCTGATAAAATTAGGGACTTACATGTCCATTTTATAACACACATGCATCTACATCCTCATATAGTGCATTAAAAAAAAAACTCTGGTGTGTCAATAAGACTCATACATAAAGGCATCTTTGGCTCTGCTACACCAAACAGAAAGATATAATCCAGTTTCATTATATGCAGGTATGCATTTTTAGAAAAGTGTTTGATATTGCACCATGTTAGGTCACTAAAACATTATCACACTGCTGCTAAACACGTGACAATGTAAGACAAACACAAATTGAGGGTCTAAAAGTAGCAAATTCCACTGCTCATTTAGTATTAAAATGAAATCAATGATTCACGATTGTCCTAGCTTTGCACATGATATATAAAAAAAAAAAAAAAGACACAGTTGGATTATTTCAGTTCAAAGCTCTGGATCTGACAGTCAAAAATGTTTCCATTTCAGTTGTTTCCATAAAAGTATCTCAGGCCATCGCTGTCAAAACTGCATTCAGGCCTTTTTAAGCAGTTCGCTGGCATCTTATTGAAGTTACTGTCATATGGGCTGTTTTCATGCTTGAGATTGGACAAAAATCTGTTATTCCTGTAAATAGGATTATGTCATGAAGACAGCTTTCTCAGCGGGGGATCAGTAGCTCTGACTGATGCACAGAGGAGGGTTCAGCAGGCAGCAGCTTACACCTGGAAATCAGTCCTCAAGTGCCTGATCTGCGAATCAGTCATGGACAGGTAGGTGGTCCTCATACTGGGTGAATACTGGAGATAAAAGAAAGAAATGTAAAGATTCATAAATATTCTGTAGATGTTGTTTAGTTATAAGTACAATATAAAAACAAGTTTAATAATATAGAATAGATTTGGAGAATAATCTTTCAATTCTCCCATGTTATTGTGAAGATTGAATAATTTGGAGGAAGGAAAACAAACATCCTGGGAGTAAAAAAAAAAACAAACGGGTAAAAGAACACAAGGAGCATAAGTAAAGGTCAGGTTACACTCACATGCAACATTCAGACAGCGCCAGAAGGTCAGAGGTGAGTTTACTGAGTGTTGCCAGGTAAAAGTTACAATATTCTGCACAAACATGATTAGGATTCTATGGTGTGTGAAAAAAGATGGATTCAAAGAAGTGAAAAGGGGAAAAAGGTGAACACAAACTTACAGTTATCAAAGTCTGAGATGAGAAACGAAAAAAAAAAAAAAAAGTTTTTCACAAAGTTGTTAGACATGCCAGTGCAGAAAATACCTTCATATAAAAAAGAACACAGAAAAATGCAGAGCTGCTGATACACTTAAACCAAAGTATAAGAAACCAAAACAATAAAGACAAGCATGGAAAAACCGAAGATTTTATTTGAAATACATTTTTAAAAGCTTCAAGATACTCTGTCATGAGCACGCAGAGAACAGAGATGTCTCTGACTGATAAAAATCTGCCTTACAGAGGAAAATTGTAGACAATGATCCAGACTCTTGCCTGTCTTACCCACTCAAAAGGTGTTTTTGGTGTTTGGTATGCTGTGAAGGCTGTTCAAGCAACAGAAGAAAAAATAAATCTTACCAGGAAGAAAAAAAAAATCACACAGCAGAGCTGTGGACTGTGAATTTATCTAGGTTCCATCTGTTATCTATTATTCATCCCAAAGCTTTGAAGACAAAACAAACACTATGCCACAGTTAAGTTGGTTTTACTAATTTGGAGCAATGCATGTTGCACTTAGCCACCTTGCAGGCAATTTGCACATAAGGTAAGACTTAATCTTAAATAGGGAATGAATCTTTATTTCAGAAGAGACAAAAATTCAGACAGCTATACTAACAGCGGACAAGAAAACGTCCAGAGATAGATTGCATTTCTACAAATGCCCAGCAGAGGCCACTCTTTAGTCACTTCAACTGTAGCAAAAGTCCCATGACTAGATGCCCACCCTGTGTGCATTGTATTGGCAATATTTTCATCCTCTATGCTATTACATATCCTCGTTTTCAGACTATAGTCACCAGAGCCTCATAAGGCAAACGAACCGAAGGAGGTGGAGATCCTCCCCCTATGAGTGGCACATTTTCATATCGAGGGGTTCCTCCAAACAGCATGGACTGATTCCTGTAACATAAAGGGAAAACATTATAAGAGCCCATAAATGCAGACTGGAGAGCAACACAATCTGCAGCTGATCATACATATATTCAGGAGGTTGTATTGTGGAATTAGAAGAAGACTGAGGAGGAGGATGAAGGCTGGCCTGGCTGCCAAGGCTGCTGATGTAGCTGCAGAAACTGTGCGTGTTGGACCTTCTGGGGTTAAAGGACAGCCTGCGTGCTTGGGGGTTGAACGGGTCCTCCTCATCGATGTCGTTGTACTCTTTCTCCCTGGATGAGAGTTAAACATGCACACAGAAAGACAGGGGTATAGACAGCAAGACATGGTGAACATTTCCCTGAACTACATGGTGGACAGTAAGCAACAAGGTAATGGGGTTCATTCAGTGCTGACCTGCCGCCCATTAATGTCCACAGTCGGAAAATTACACACAACATGGCAGAGAGTGTGCAGGCGGCCAGAAGAGAGAACAAGGAGAGGTAAAGGAGCCCCTCCACTCCATCATAACACACACCCATTAGGGCATCCAGGTAGTCCTGAAAGAGTCAGTTTTCAGACTTCAGAAGAAATATTTCCCATCAGAAAATACAAATATTCAAACATAAGATCATGACCATTAGACGCACAGGGATTCTTCTACAACACTGGTAATAAAAATACATTTTCTCTTTTACTTAATGTGCTGACTGCCATTTCCACTTGCACAGATATTTCCATAGCTTTTCATGATACAAGCAAACCCCCAGTGCACACTTTTCCTACAGAGAAACTGATTTTAATGCAAGACTATTTGCATGGTTTTTGTATAAATACAACTGGCTCATGTGTTTGTTTGAATTCTGTTGCATCCCTATTATTACTTATAATGTATTTCAAAGCTAGAGAAGTTCATTAGCAATGTCTGGTTGACAATAAGCCCCTCCAGTAGAACCACAGAGGTACTGATCCAGAAATGCATATTAAGGATGTATTATTGTTTTCCTTTGCTTACCAAATATTGCAGACAAGACCTTTTTTTTTTTTATGAAAGCATTAGAAACTAACTGACAAACATTCCAGGGTCAGTTTTCATTGGTTACATTATTTCACAGTAAATCATTTAAATGGGATAAAATCCACACAAACCCAAGCGAAAACATGCTTCCATGTGTCCTTGGTGACATCTCAAAATGCATAAGAAACCTGCACATGCATCTTTTGAGCACATTCATCTGCAAATTTGGTTGTTAAATTAATTTAACAAGGGCCTTAGATTGCATGATGTAAGGCTACGGCATAATGTTTAAGATTTTAGGAACATTTGGCAAACATAAAAGGTATAAGTGGTTTCAGAAGAGGAATAGCATATACCGAAGAAAAAAAAAACAGATCTATCCAAATAGTTTTAGAGCTCTTTTAGTGCCAAGAATTTAGAAAAAAAAAAACTTACTGTGTCATGAACAGAATAGATTAAACCAAGTTTTCTGTCAAAACAATGCTTCTGCAGAACTGCTGCATTAGCCATATCACCAGGCAGACAGATGGATAATGAGCCCAGGTCTATCAGTTAGTCACACCATGCATGAACCTGCAATGTAGCCTCTATCACCGCCATCTTTCCAGGCAACACAAGCCTGAAGAAGTAACGAAGAAATCCCCATCACTCAGCATTTAGATGGAAAGATGATATTTGGGTTGGCTAAAGTGGTATGATTACAGATTGCACGCTGGGACACTGAATGCATTGCCAATTCATGTCACCATGTGAGAGGATGCAAGCAGAAAACAACTTTTTATAATTTCTTCAGGCTAATATGTACAAAACAATGAAATGGGAAAATTCAAATGGGGACATGAGTGGTTAAAGTTCTTAAGATGATCATTTAACATCTTACAGCTTAAATTACGTTAAATAGATGCCGGTTTCTGACAAGAATCACTGGCCATACAGTAGTCATTACTAATCCCTGCTGATAAGCTGGATGCTGTGCCTCTTATTATATCATTGACTACATAGATGGTAGCTCCAGCTTTTGTTGAAAGATGTGTCTAAGAGGGTAGATTTAATAGTCAATTAACAAATGAATTGTATGCTATATGTAATTTGATTGGAATACGTTCCTGGTAGGAGTCGATTTAGTTTGTAAAATCAGGTTGACGTTTGAATGCAGTCCTTATTGCAAGTATGATACATGCAAAGACTTATCCTAAATAAAAGCAGATATAATAGGTTGTATGTCTGTTTTTTCTTTTTAACAGCAATCTGAATTTGATGAAGTCTGCCTCTCAAACAGACAGTGTGAAAACTGCAAAAAAAGGGTGTCAGAGAATAAGAACTAAATAGAGCAAAGGTCAAAAATCATTCAAGCTGGACTTCTAAGTGGCTTTGAGCTCTGTTTTAAAAGGTTCCTATTAAAAGTGTCCTAGTCAGACTCTGACCTTACCTTATGTATCCCGCGGCAGTCAAGCAAGGCTGTTAGCTGGTGAACATTGAACTCTGTGGAGTTTAACAGGCGCTGGATCCCTAAAAGGTCTCTCTGTATAACAAGGTGCGCAAGGGGAGACAATGATAAGCAACCTTCTACAGCCTGGGGTAATAATGGGCTATTGGGGCCACCACTTGCCTGAGCCATTGGAAAAATGGGCACGGTAAACTGCAGCAGGCCCTGGATCTGGATTTGCATTGTGGTCAGTGAGCGCTGGCAGATGGTTAGAGACTTAAAAAAAAAAAGCACAACCAGTCATTACATCACAAGGATGTTATCAAATGTAAACAATGTGAGGATCTTATTAAGTGGAGCATTGTTTTGAAGTTTCTAGCATGTAAACAAATAATCTGGTGCTAAGAGCGGCTTAATGAAGGCAACATTAGACATAAAGGCCTACATTATCCGATGAAAACAATGCTCCACCCCACTAATCTTAGGTAGAAACAAAAGGGCAATATTTAGATCAATTGGGCCATCAAATTTAGGATTATCTCATCAGGGAAAGCAGGCATCACTTTAATGCATAAATGGGTGTAATGATGACAGCTAAACATGCTGGTTTTTAATAGTTATAAAGCAAGGATTTATCCTCCCAGAGGGATATCATGTATTATATCCCTTGTGGATGCCAAGCTATTCCAGATTCCCCCATCTGTTATGGAAAAAAAAAAATCAAAAATGTAGTTAACATAGCTGTTAATATAACTGTTAAATATGGTGAAGTGTGTTTTGTAATTATTTGACAAGGTTTCATGATTAAGCCTGGTTTGCCTTGAAAATGCTGAGTTTCTGAAAGGCAATAGTTCAGTTTTAAGGCTGCGTATTGAACAAGCTTTAACAAGAATGCATGACAGCTGTCGCATTTCTGCTGTTATTAGTAGTTGGGGGATTATAAAAATACATCTGCATTTTATGTGCAAATAGTTGTTTTTTGGAATGTAGAAGGAATATAAATGCGTCATCAGTAAATCATTTAAAATGCTGATAAGCAAATAATATTTAAAATGTAAAAATTGAGCATGCCTTTAAATATTAGAGATCATGAAAAAATATGTAATATTGGATAGATAATTACATACACAGAGTTGTATTTCAGTGTTTTACTTTTGTTGGTTTTAACGAGCGACATAGAGCTAATTAGGACGAAGTATAGTTTTTCAGAAAAATATAAATATCACAATGGAGGAAAAAAAAAAGCCTTTTTAATAATTTGGCTGTGGTCAGTACATCATACCACATTCTTCGTCTTTTGTATCAACTTCTGCATTACAGTACTTCTTTATTTGAAATAGTTTTTATTATCATTAGAGAAATCATTACATTGTTGGTCATCATAAATGAACATCTTATTTAGTTGAATCCACCAACAGGAAGAAAAGATTCTGGGCTTTATTGAAAACAAATATAAAAGCACCCAATTGGCTATGCACAAGACAAAAACATTTAAACCTTTCTGAAACTTGCAAATCGAATTAGATAATCCAACTATATATCATAGTTTGCTGTTAACTTTTCCCCCCAACATCTAAAGGATGGTTACAAAATAGTTGCATCTCACAAAGAAAGTGCCCACCTTTTAAAACTGCAATCTATTTACCACTGTTTGATTTATTGAAAATGACTGCATGGCTAAAAAGAACGCTAGCACATTTGGTCAATACCTGCTGAAAGGGGTTTTGTAGATTCGGACTGCAGAACAAATAATAGTGTGCAACATCTGTAAGGTGAGAGAAACGAGAAGGTTAATATCATGCCTTAATGTTCAGAGACAGGAGCTGGTGTCTGTGCAATTGTCTTTAGAGATAAATCACCTGCAGTGAGGAAATCCTTGGTTTGGTTAACAATGAATTTATTTGGAGATACACAGAAGTCGCTTGTGCCCTGGGAGGAAACAATAACACATTACAAGCATGCAAGACTGAAGTAAATGCACTACAAATTGCATAAGGTGCATGACCAAATTCATGTGAGGCAACACAATAAAGCTACATTCAGACGGGGGCGGTATACAGTATCCAATCTCTCTGCACAAGAAACTATTTATTTTCAGGATTTTATCAACCTGAAAGTGCAATGATGCTTCAGTTTGCTTTGAACTATTTCAACCTAGATTGTACTTATATATATATATATATATATATATATATATATATATATATATATATATATATTTTAGTACATATATATACACACACACAGCCATTTCTAGAAAAAAATTTTTTTTTTTTAATCATTACGTGGTAGGAATTGGCCTCAGGCATTACTGACCCTACAGAGGAGTGCAATGCTTTGCTAATCATGGATAAAAACTACTTAAGATTTTCCACTGGGTCTGATTCCTTCATACAGAGGTCAATGTGCATGTACACACACACACACACACACACACACACACACACACCCCACACAGGCAAAGACATTTTCACTTTAACCACCAGCATGGTTTGCTGAACGGTATGTAGAATGTCATATTTCACAGCTGGGCTTCCATTGACATCAATAAAGCTCAAAGGCTACAAGGCACCTGTTAGCATTCAGGATCAAACACCCATCCATTTCAAATATGTCCACTGTTGTATACTCTATGTCAGTCACCATCAAGAGGTGTCTTTTTCTGACCCGTCACAATGCAGTAGGCTCAAAAGCACATGACAGGGAGCAGACCTGCTTTGATTCTACCACAAGTGATGCAACACACAGACACACAAACACAATGATAGAGAGAAAATAAAAGACAAACAAAAACAAACTAAATAGGTAAAAGAGTGATGTAAAGTCATGTTGAATGGATCAAAGTAATAAAACAAAACCAGTTATTATAATAAATTTGATGTTTTCTTCACTACAGGTATGATATATCATAAACCATTAATTTAATAGTATGTATGTGAACTTAAGATGGTATGATCAAAGTGAAATATATCAGAAGGTACAAGTCATTTTGAGGATAAAGTAAGTGATTGTCCACAATTTTCATCATCTTTGGAAGTACACAAACCGTACAAGGAAGGGAGGGTGGGGTAATCAACCTGCACATTTTCTATATGATGACCTTTCATTATTATCACACATTCTACTGTTCTTGTTCAAACAGTTGTTTTATTTATTTTTTTTTAACATGTTTTAATAAAGAAATTTTATCAGTAATCAGCAGTAATTTAACCATACCAAGCCCACAAATGTATATTGGTATCTTGTCTCAGTTACAATAAAGTAGTTTTTTTTTTCAGGAGGAGCTAGGGCTTATCCTAAAAGAGTATGCTTTTGTACTGTTAGGATTAATCTTAGCATTATGGTTTAACAAGCAAATGTTTTTATCACTACCTACCTATTAGGTGTGGTAGATGTATTAGATAGTTTTCCTACCTATGATATGACACTATAAAATAGAGGCTATGAATGGGAGAATACAATGAGAGATGATTATCCTTAACAGAGAAAACTCTGGCAGTGTACATCAGATTATCCTTGATCTTAGAATGTATTAACTCGATATGGCTCGAGCCAGTAACGTCTCATCATTTTCAAACAATATATGTATGATGTAATGTTGTGTGATGTGATGATGTGGCAGGGTGTGACTCTTCAGATCTATAAAGATTAGGGTGACCAAACGTTCTCTTTTCCCCGACATGTTCGCTTTTTACATCCTGTCCGGGGTGTCTGGAGGGGAATTATAAATATTAGAAATTGTCTGATTTTCACTGCTTTTCAAAGGACTATAAACATATGCTTAAATTGACTGGCGCTTTGCACAGAATACTACGGTACTTTGTTGCCCAACGTAATTCTCAAGGGACTGCCTTATGGGAGAGTCTAGCAAGACTTCGACACACACACACACACACACACACGCAGGGAGCAAAGCAACCTGCATTGGTCACAAAGTGCTGAAACGAGGGTGCAGCTTCACAGATGAACTCCAAAAAAAATTAGCAGGTACCATCCAAGAAAAGTACCTACCAAGTCAAGTGGGCAGCTGGGTGCACCATGTGCAAAGCTGGCAAATATCTTTCAATGTATAATAAAGGTGCAGGAGATCTCAAAGCTCACATAGATACTGAAAAAAAATGAAAAAGCTGTGCGAGATGAGATCTATTCTGCAAAGTTGACTGAGGACTTTGTATGACCTGGAAAAATTTGTTGAAGCAGTATGTTAGAAATATTTTACCTATACTCTTACTCCGTTTTGTTGTTAATGGGCGTGTACTAATGAACTATTAGGATGTATAATGTGTTATTCATTGCTTATTAACTCTTGCTGAAGATCATTCCTGATTGATGTCATGATGAGTTGTGAAAGAGGCCTGAACATCCTCTTTCAAGCTGAAACCAGTCACTTTTGAAACATCTATGCTTGGAACATGCTTATCTGCAAATCAATCACATGCTTTGTTTTGACATATGCGCTGAGGTTGGAAGCCTGGTCATTTTGTTCCCCTTTCCTTTAGTGCAGCCTCAGCTTGTGTAACTAGGGACCCCTCTGACTTTAATAAATAGCGAGGAGAAAGTTGAGACCGGCAGAGTGGGTTGGAGATTGTAACTGTACAGTCTCTTCCTATTCTCCTCATGAGTAAAAAGAATTCTGACTCTGTGCCTTACTTTCCTTGTTTGTATGTTTTAGGTGTTTAGACCTGACATAGTATTATCTAATAAAGAGGAAGTCATATTTAGAACATTATTTGATTTTATTTATGTATGTTAAAACAAAACTATAATTTTGTTACTGGCTGTAACAGATTTTGTTTCGCTACAATGGTTATTTTAGTACAATTTAGGTATAATAAATCATGTTCATTAACCTTTGAGAAGCCTGTCTGAATCTGGCTCGAGGCTGGGCAAAGTGTCCTCTTTTTTTGAAAATCAAAATATGGTCACCCTAAAAAAGATTTTAATTGTTATTCTGGGCCCTTCCTGGTGAAGCGGTAGGCCTACCATATGTAACCTGATTTATTTCTCTGGTCTGAGTAAGATTAAATTCTTTAAACCTGCCTTCTTGTTTTATAATCATGTATACGGTATATAAACACAATAGAAACCATTATTTAATGTGTTTGCTCCCAGTAATCTCTTCTCAGGAAAGAATCAGGGAGATAAGACTTTTAAGAAATGTGTAAATGCAATTGCTTTCATTTAGGTACACTAAAATATTGAAATAGTAAATGGCACCTAATATGTTCCAACTTTTAATAATAGCTAATTTTATCTACCTCGGAACATATAAACAACATATTAAATGCTTAGTCGCATTCTAATAATTAATCAATAAGAGACTTATTAAATTAAATATCTTCAATACTACTTGCACTGATTTTTTTCTTTTAATTATTTCCAACTTTTGAACATACAAAGTATTTAGACTTCAGTAGAAATCTTAGTTTCAAGTCCTGAAGTACTTAATCTGAAACACAAAAATCAAAATAAGAAAAGCTTTCACCATGACATGACAATGAGTGTAAGGAGAAACTTCCTTGAAAAGTCCCTACTTGGGACAAATAGATGAAGGACATTACACACATTATTTAAGAAACCCTAATCACTTGCCAAAGTCAAACTTCAAAATTGTTTTACCGTTACTGGTAAAGTTTTTGAATGAATAGGTACTACAGGTGCTGAATATAATATACAAGTTTCACTTTTTAAATGGAATTACTGAAATCAATCTACTTTTTCATGATATTCTAATTTTATGACCAGCACCTGTATATCTAAAGTATTGATTCCTTTTCATACCTCCTTCATGCTTTTTGTTATGGGAGACCTGGAGACAATCCCAACTGTCACCTGAGGCTGTTGCTACAAAGCAGGATAAGAAGCTCAGGGAGGTAACTTCAGGTTCAGGCCAGGATTTAGAGTATTAAAAAGAAAGCTCACTTCTTAACTCAATTTATCTCAGTAGTAACTTATCTAAAAACCTTACCACCTACAGAGCAGGTCAGGTTTACAACTGAATCGCCATCTTATGAAAAAGAGCACCACCTACCGACCAAGTGACATTAAATTCAACCCTGATAAGCGTTGAATTTATCTAACACTAGTGTACTGTGTCAAAATTGAACAACACTGGTGAGCTACATCATAACCACAGCTGTCCAGGGGCAGACTGACAGAAGGAAGGCTACAGTGCACTAGTGGCACCAGGCCCTCTGATTATCATGAGAAGACAATCCTGGTAGTGTCTTATCCAGGGGCATAGCAACTGAGGGAGGATTTGAACCGGTGACCGTCTAGTAGCAGGAAGTTCCTTGGATTTAACTCTGTGGATTAAGACCAACTCCTTGGAGAAACTACCTCTCACATAGTTCAACTAGAAAAAAAAGAGTTACATTAACACAACTTTCATGATGAAACAATGATCCTGAAAATTTAACAAATCTGACTTTCTGTATACACTGATAGGAGTAGACTTATGGGAAATAATTGAACCACTATGCATACACTCATTGCATCCAAAAGTGACATGGTTCATTAGTATTACTCTGACATAAATAATGTTGATCAATGAAAGGAAGCCAGAGTATCACAAAACCAACACAGAGAGGTGTGAATGGCTGAGATCTGAACTAAGGACCTAAAAGCTGATCCGTACTATGTAACTTGAATGTAACACTTCTTATTGAAACAGAAAAAAAATTATACAAAAATGTACGTCTTAAAGTTATTTGTTTCTCTATTCTACATCAATTAAAGAAAACCTAACATCTAAACATTTGTGTAAAGCATAGCTTTGCCCATATCACATGATATCTGTTTTCAAGCCAGGCACTGCATGTTGCCCTCTAACTATCTCATTATGCTGGTCGGGACATTTTGTTTGTGCTCCCTCTCATCAAATATGTATAAATCTGAGGATTTTCTAGGACACCGCCGCAGTGTTTCAT